TAAAAATTCAAGAATGTAAGTGATTTTATAGAAAATGAATAGTTTATACACTGTAGTTAACTTTCACTATAATGGCATTTACTATTTTTGTTTCCATTCTTCGAACTTTTCGCAGTTCCTATTGGTTATATTTCCGATTAGGGAAGTATAAATAGTAAAATTCTCACCACCCTCAAATGATTACGATTACTAACGGACTCCGATATAGCAGATTCCTTATTATAACGGAGTAATTTTCTTAAACAATTTAAAATTATTATTATTATATTATGTAGCATTATAACATTCATTTATTATGGATATAATGGGCCAAATCTTTCAGTCCGACATAAACATATATACATGTGGTCTATTAGCATGATATTTTGGCACCCATTCCCGCTAAGAAAATCAGATGAAAAATGGCACTTCCCTTAGTTGCCTAATTATAATGAAGTTCCGATTTAAAAAAACATTGGCGAAAAAAAAAGCACATTACATCATCCGGAAATTTTGTCATCTAGCCCGGACTAATTGGAACTGCGGAAAAATAGTGAATCTCCGCTAGATAATGATTTTCCGGAGTATTACTCCGATAGAACGAGAGAACTGCTATAGCGAGGCCCTTTATAACGAAATAAAAATGGCTATATAATTTCCATATAAAGAACTTCATAATTCATAACGTTTGTATTACTCATTTTGAATAAAAATTTATTGTTCAAGTCATTGTATGTGCTGCGCGTACGCTATGTACGTAAATATTTAAATATCAGTAATAAACCAAAGATGGTTTCACTTTTTTCTTCTCAAATTACCTATTTAACCAAAGTCATTTTACATTATGTTAGTTTATGCATTCATTTTTATCATTTATATCATATCATTATCTATCAAAGATCATTTAAATCCGATAGAAAAAGCATCCGCGGCAACAATTAATGAATGGAAAACTCGTACAATATACCATTTGCTGACTGACAGATTTGCTCAAACACCAGGTCAAGAAAAACCAAAATTATGTACTACTAATAAAGAAAATGAAGTTAGGCATTATTGTAAGTCTAAATTGATCTGATTGATCTACATTATAAACGTTAATTATAGTTGTCTAACATTAAATTTAAATTGAGGTGGTGGCACTTTTAAGGGAATCATATCGAAACTCGATTACATCAAAAATTTGGTAACTATTCATAAAGCTTTTGCAAGGATCAAATTTAGCACAGTGATATTTTTGGTAAATTTCGAGTTTTTATATCACACATTAACGCATTTACTATATTAATGATGGTACCATGTAATATCTAGATGATGCCTTCTATACTAAATTTGATCCTTCTACGTTTATATAATAGCCTCATGTTTATTCTTTGAATAGGGGTTTGATGCAATCTTGATCAGTCCCGTGGATAAACAAATTGAAAAGAAAACAATCTATGGTGTTGGATGGCATGGGTGTAAGTTTACGATAAAAAAAACGATTTGTTCGTTCATTTTTGTGTATCACATACAAATTTAATCGTCTAAATTAGATTGGGCTCAAGACAAATTTTCAATCAATCCTCACTTTGGTACTGCTGAAGAACTTAAAAATCTCGTTG